TTATTATTATTATTATTATTATTATTGTATGGCCTCCGACAAAAATTAAAGAAGAAATGAAAGGACGATAGGTGCTTGATAGGAAAGAAGGGCCAACCAAACTAACGCACACACCAACTACCCATTGCTCTTGCTTTAAATGTCGACTTGCGAAGTAGAAGTGACTTTTATAATATTAGCCTATAACTATAACATAACATTGTATTCGATTTCTGCCTGACGAAATTAATCTCAGAGCTTGTTCACAGTGTATGGATGATTGTAGTCAAAATGAAACCAGGGCGCTAATTATGAATACAAACCTGAGTTCGTCGACCAAGACTTCAAACCTGTCTGTTTTTTACCTTCACTTTGTCGGAGAAGAAAGACTCATGCGCCATGCCTTTGTTCGGCTCACTCATGCCGTATGTCCACTTAATCTTAAAAGTCTAGGGTAGCCTAATTGGAGGGTGCCACTGATAGGTGCTTCTTCTTCCCTTTACCTCTGCTGTTTCTGTCTGTGTTTGGTTTGAGGATGTCACTGGTAGGTGTTACAGAAAGTCACTCTGTATAATATATTATTATTATTATCATACACCTGCATCAACAGCGACTTTCTTATTCTAGTCATCCTGTTTGTTCATGCATGTGACCTCGATAGAGCATCTCAGTAACGGTTTTCTGCTTCCTGTTTCCTTCAGACTCTGCGTGAAGACGACATGGAGTTGCCCTTATAGTGACCTCCCCTGTGCAGAGACTGGATTTCCCGCCCTGACACACACCGTCACGCTGAGTTCCCAGAATTCCCCATTCTAGTCAGTTGCGAGAGTCGAGTTGTCCCCCCTGTCCCTGAATGCTGCGTTGTGAACTGAGAGCTGTTGGAAGTCGGCTGGATGAAGAGAGCCTGGCAGTCCTACTGGTCAAATGGCGCGAGATTGTTGCTTCACGTCTGGCTGATGGATGAACGAAATCGTCCTGGGAGAGCTTGATGAACTTTGACTGCGGCCAAAAGTGCTAGATTTATTTTTGTTATTTTGTGTTAATTTTAGAACTTATTATAATTATTATTATCATTATTATAATTGTTGTTGTTGTTGTCGTTGACATTGTTGATATGCCACAGAAGGTCACCCATCTCCTTGTTTTCCCCGCTAGCACATTACACACGTTAGAATCAGCTTCTGTATGTGTGCCAACAGGCACCGCTATAAGCTAATACAGTTTTGTCTCTGAACTGCAGTGAGGCGCCATCCTACCCCCCCCCTCGGTCTGTCCTCTCGACTGCCCTGGAGAAATCTCCTGCACTAACAATGCATCCCAAAGGTAGCTCTGCTACTACTGTTAGCCCAAGACACAAGCAGACGAGCCTCACTGAGGCGAGCCCTGGTCAGTGCAGTGGTCACTCAGCGTCCGGTGGTCATTCTACCCTTCAGACACAGCTCGTGTGTTATGTCTGAGATTGCCTTGTCCAGCAGGCCGCTGTAAGTAAGCTTTTAGGCAGTTCTTCTAGAGCCCCCATCCCATCCCACACGCACCCCATTCCCCACCCCATCCCCCACCCTACTATATCCCGCACTCCATCCCGCACCCCCTCCCACCCTGTTCCCCACCCCATCTCCCCCCACCCCATTTCCCCCTACCCCATCTCCGCCCACCCCATCCCCACCCCAAGCAGACTACTTTAAAGCTTCAGGCAGTTCTTCTACGGCTCCTCCCCATCCCCCACTCCACCCCCACCTCATCCCTACCCCATCCCCCTCCCTATCCTTCACCCAACCAACATTATGGGCCTTGAAGCAGTTCTTCTTCAGCACTCCCACCCCCTTTTCCCCAACTGCCCCCTAGTACGTGATAGCAATGTGGCAAACTCTGTTTAGCTTAGTGCGTGTTCGTGACGTGGTGTCCTAGCTCCTGCATTTTCCAATACCATACACACTTATATTTTGAACACATTTTCATTCCAAAGTTGTCAAATGAGCCATATCTGTAAATATCGAAAGATTATTTATTTACACTTATTAACTAACATTCAACATCCAATAACATATTTATTTGTCATTTTCCTGTGTTTACATTGTTCCAATGTTTGTGTTCTTGGACATTCAATACTCACTTTCTTTGGACTGGCTATGTGCCCACATTACGGTAGCCCTGTGCGTGCACAGAGAGAGGCACCACAGGAGGTGCACCACGCACGCCTCACGTGCACTCGCAACTTGATGATTTTGATGAAAACGAACTAGAAATCACTGGGACGTTATATATACATAGACTTGAAGACGTTAAGTACTTATTATGAAATCAAACTGTGAGCGATGAAGCTCTTGTTTTTATGTTGCTATGTTTTTTAAATTTGTTTCGATTTTATTTGGCTTTTTGTGTGTTTTACACCATATTTAATTAAGCACAATGTGCTTGTTGAAAATGCCGGCTTATTTCTTGGTGGTAACTTATAAAGTAGAGAAAGTCAGGTGGATGAACACATTTTTAAGTTATTATGTTATGTTATGTTTTTATATGATATTTTCACCATCCCCACCCCCCTCCCCTTCCCGAAAAGAAAAAAAAATCCTCGGATGTAATTCAGCTTCTCCCGACTGCTGTTCACCATCCTTGACTTCAAACTTTATTACGTGAAAAAAATGTTGTTCCCTGTGACCTTAAGTCTTTTTATTTTTAAAGTAAATTAATCACGGATCTTAAGTTAAAGTAGCCTGTTGATATATTATTACATTGTACTGTCATGGTCTTTGGATTTTTTGCCCACTGTCTCATTTGGAGGTGTAACATGCCATATTGCTGTAACTCTCTATTGTATTCGTGAGATGGGGCTGGGGGGGGCATTGTATCCAGCTTCAGCATCGTTCTTTTCGAGGACGTCGGCAAGAGCTAAAGTAACTTTGAGGAGGGAGTGGAGAGTGGAGAGAGAGAGACAGAGAGAGGGGGGGGAAGAATGGAGAAGGGGATGGGGAAGAGGATGTTACTGCGTCTCTCTTGACCAATGCTTGTCGACCAAGGCGATATCGCTCAGTACAGAGCAGGGTTATTTATAATGTTGGTAGGTAATGAGAATCCGCAGGGAAGTGGTGGGCAATATCCAATGTCCTGCTCGGAAATTCATTTACGTGAGTGGTGAGAAATAAATGTTAACTTTGTTAATGTAACATGAGTGGTTGCTGGCTACAGAAAAAGTTGACAAGCAATGTTCTAGAAGGACGTGGACTTTATGATGACACTGAACTATCTGTCTGGTTTTATTTATTTGGCCAATATTGAGCCTGTTGGAATAATTGACTGTAATACATATTGTCTGCTTGTCTCAACCCGTTTTGATTTCTTTTCGAAAAGTTCTTTTCCCTTGAAACGCTACCTCATTCAGTTTCAAATTGTGTTCAAAGGGGTTGTGAGAACCCATGCTATATATACCTTGTATTTATATTTGGTTCGTGCCGATTACAACATTATTTATGATTTACTGATGGAATGACGTGCCTATTACCCAACATGCTCACATATATATGTGTTTACTGTCTTCATTTGTATGTATTCTATTTGAGCTGTCATTTTGTTTGGAGACATAAAAATTGGCTTGCCCGATCACATATCAACCCCAAAGTGTCAGAGACTGTAGTGTGCTCAGATGTGCTGTAGATTCTTGTTCCTCTGACGTCATAATTAATGTTATGAATCAAATAAGTCACACGTCCCTCTGAGGCTGAAAAAAATAATTACTATATTATACTAAATATAGATAGCTTGTACTTCTTCAGATTATTTATTATTGTAAAAGATTCCATGTCATTAACGAAGGAAGTTCAACTATTTAAACTTGATTTTAAATCTTTTTTCTTTTTTTCTAGTGAGGGGGTTGAAAAGTGTAACGGTCTTTAATGTTGTTTTCCCTCAGTGGTATTGCCTAGTAAGTGTTGCTTTGCGAACTTTTGATTAATGAGAAGGTCATGCCTCTATCACAAACCGTCTGACCCTGGGTTATTGGCGAAGTGTCGGGTCGTTGGAGCAACTGACGTCACTGAGTTGTCGGGACAAACTGGCAAACACTATGAGCGGACAAACACATGCCACGTGACCTCTGTCGACACGGCACGGACAAAGTGCCCGAGAGGACATACAATATACGCGCTGGCGTCTGACAGAAACTGAGAGAAGTAAAACAGAACGTTCACAAAACTTGTCTTGTCCATCATCGAGTATTGGACGCATTTCGAGATAGGTCGCGGATAGACGTGGTGGCCTAGACTTGGGTATAAATCTTGATATAAATAGACGTGGTGGCCTCACTTTTGGTATAGATCTAAATAATGATACAGATTGAATAGATATACGTGAAAGCATAACTTTTGGTATAATTAATGATAGTCCTCTATAGATTGGATAGATAGACGTGAAAACCTAAACTTTGATATAAATTACGAATGTTCATGGGGTAAGACGGACCAACATTTTCATGGCAGGCAGCATTCATGATCTTTGTTAGCGGATTTGTTTTGTCATCAATAACCACACTTAAAAACAACAGATCAATGTCTTTGGTGTTGTTGCTATTGTTATTTTTTGTATTTCATTATCGTTCATCAGCATTTTTAGATCTAGATCTACAGCGCAACATATTTTACTGATTACCAGGGCCACGAAGTCTGTTCTCTTGACCACCGCCCCCTTTTTGCACTGGATTTTTTTTGGCGGGGGTGGGGGGGGGGTCTAATTTCATATGTAAAGGAAAAGACGCACAGCAAAAGTTTGATGCTGTGATGTTTAGGTAAAAAGTTGCGTCCTTCGGGCGATGAGTGTTTACCTCCGTGTTTAGGTAAACAGCAACGCTTGTCAAATGAGCTGCCTAAGAAAAAAAAATTGAACATAGCAAGAAGAGACAGGATGAGATACGAGATTGCTAGAGAACAAGCTGGTTGCTAATCTACCGTCTTGTAATGTATAGACCACCCCCCCCCCCCGGGGCCAAGAAAGCAACAAAACAAAACAAAAACCCCAAAAAGCGAACGAAATGATTGGGATATCTGCCAAGACTACCACCAGGCAATATTATAGCAGCGAAAGCATACAACCAGAGATCAGATGCAAACAGAGGAAGAGGCAGGCCCAGGAAAAGATGGATAGAGGGGTCAGAAAAACATTAGTCAAGAACAAAATAACCATGCAACAGGCGATATTACAAACAAGAGAAAGACGATTCCTCCTTCTCGACACCGTACGGTAACAAAAGTAGGAAAAATGTAAATTTCTAGCCCATTTTTAACCTTTGGTGAAGTACAACATGTTTCTAAAATAGTTGATACAAAATAAGATTTAAAATATAAAATCCTTTCAATGTGTCATTAAGAAATTCTTAAACGTGTGTTGTCTGATGGAAGTAAAATTTTGACCAGGTACGACGTTTTTTTGGTCTTTTCATCCTGTTGCTCAAAAATACGTTTACCGACCACTGAGACCTTTCTCGAGGCACAAACACACACACACACACACACACACACACACACACACACACACACACACACAACACACACACACACACACACACACACACACACACACATGATGTACTTAGAGCGTAGACAGCAACATTTAGCTGGAGAGAGATCAAAAAATTGGTTCATTACTTTAACAAGTATACCTATATGTTTTTCTTCTGTCTTTTCTAAAAACATTTATAGTTTGAATTTCGACAAGATATTTCTTGATTACACACGCATGTGATACCACAGATTAAGAGACTTCGACAAAAAGAACGAATTCAAAATTTTGTGTTAAGTACATTTGAGCATCTGTTCGAGGATAATTATGCACGCTGTTGTCTCTAGACAAAGTACATGGACATTTTGCTACCTTAAAATGACAAAGTTCTCTGCTCGCAGTACCTAGTTTTGAGAAATGCGACTTTAAAAAGAAAATGAGTTTCATTATATTTCAAGCTTTTTCCAATGCAATTCTTTGAATATCTTGATAATGATTACAGCTCAGAAAATTCTTACGGTTTTTACAAAGCAGATAGACGTTTTGTTTTCTGACCCCAAGGTCTTAGTAACAAAAAATGTGAGATAAAACTTTGTAGTTTTGAGGTAGCGATGTATGTCCGCGAAGAAATAGAAAAGCATGTTAGTATTATTAGCTGCTGGGTTGAGCAATAGCAACAGAAGAATTATACTTATACTGTACTGTACATTTTTATTATTTCATCTTCCTAAAGTTTGTCAGCATCTCAGTTTTAAGAGTATAAAATGTCTAGTTCAGCATTTTCAATCCCATTGTTGGTTCTTCCCACCCCCACCCCCCGCAACATTTTACCTCCTCACAACACTCCCACATCCCACAACTCCCCCCCCCCCAAATCCCCCACCCTACACCCGCCCACAACACATAAACAGACAGACTGATAGGTTGCCCCCATTGTTACCTGTTTTTCTCGGACACTATGTTACTTGGCGTTGATAGATCTGACTGATTCTACAGTGTTGCAAAGATAATAAAAACCTACAGCATTGCTACTTCCTGTGTTCTCTCCGAGTTTTCTACCCACTAAAGTGTGTGTGTGTGTGTGTGTGTGTGTGTGTGTGTG